TAGCGACCCTACAGGACAGAGTAGAACTGCCCCATAGGGTTTCCAAGGAGTGGCTGGTAGATTGGAACTGCCGACCTTTTTGGTTAGCAGACTGAGCTCTTAACCACTGTGCCACAAAACAAAAAAAAACAGTACTTGTACAACATAGTGGAGAATACTGACCGCAATATTGGAAGTAAGTGTAGGCAAACCAAAACCCTGGCACCTATCATGCGCCACCTTTTCTGAGGGAGGCTGTCAGTTACAGGCTCTTCCTGCAGAGAACTTGGTTTTGCAACTAACTCCACACCTGCAGGAGCCTGGACTGTATGGGTGACATCTACATCCCCCAGCTGTGGAGCACCAACACCCACCACCACAGGATGCAGGCCATGCTGTCACGCTCCACTGCCACACACAGGAGGGGACCCTGGCGAGGGACAAGGTGGGCAGAACCCTGGGGAGAAGAAGCAGGTAACCTCCAACGGAAACAAAGCTGGGACCACCTCTCCCCACAGTAAACGCCCTCTGGGGAGAGGTCTTCGCAGTGCCTGACGTAGGCGAAGGGGCTGATTCCGGGGCTCCCAGCGCTGGGAGGGGCCTGGGCAGGGAGCAGCCCACAGTTCCAACGCCAGTCTCTCAGCCTGCTGCGACCCTGGTAAGGTGCCTCTCCTTCCCGCGTCTGCTTCACGTGTGAAATGAGTCCTGAACTCGGTCCTCCCAACAGGCCCTTAGGGGTCAGGCACACTGTGATGATCTCACTAGCGTTACTGGCTACTCAAGAACGGAGCGTGCAGTATGCTGTCAGGATGCTTTTGAAGTTTACAGAAGTAAATGGGAGAGCCGTGAGGAGCTGCTGGACAGGCACTGCGCCAGCGCTGTCATCTCCACCTCTACCTCTACCCCCCACCTACGCCTCTTCTCTTCCTCCCTCTGTCCCTCTCTTCCTCCCTCCCTCTCTCCCTCCTCCAGATCTTTTTGTAAAAGAAATAAGTAGAAATAAGCTTCAGCAGAAGCTCTTCCATCCCATTCCCCTCTGGAACACCCCAGAAGTAACCACTATCCTGAAAATGATACATGTATCAATTTCCTATGCATACTTTATATATGTATAGTATATAAATCTAAACATATATTATAACCTATATATAAATATGTATACTGCATAATTATATACATATACATTATATATACGTCTCAACTTCCTATGCTTACTTTATATATGTATAGTAAATAAATCTAAATATATAACCGATAAATATATATACTGCATAATTATATACATATACATTCTATATACATGTATCAACTTCCTGTGCATACTTTACATATGTATAGTATATAAATCTAAATACCTATTATAACCTATATACAAAATATATATATTACATAATTATATACATATACATTATATATACATGTATCAACTTCCTATACATACTTTATATATGTATGGTATGCAAATCTAAATACATATCATATCCTATATATAAATATATATACAACATAATTATACACATATACGTTGTATACATATACATATGCCAACTTCCTATACATACTTTATACTTGTATATTATATATATATAAAATTATAAATACACATTATTTAAGAGCTCAGCAGCTAAGCAAAAGGTCAGCAGTTTGAATCCACCAGCTGTTCCCTGCAAACCCTATGGGGCAGTCCTACTCTGTCCTATAGGGTCACTATGAGTTGGAATCAACTCAATGGCAACGGGTTATATATAAATATACATACTATATAATTATGTATATATTTTATACATGTACCAACTTCCTATGCATACTTCATGCATGTATAATATATAAATATAAATACATATTATAGCCTATATACAAATATATATACTACATAACTATATGGTTAAGAGCTTGGCTGCTAACCAAAAGGTCAGCAGTTCGAATCCACCAGATGCTCCCTGGAAACCCTATGGGGCAGTTCTACTCTGTTCTGTAGGGTTGCTATGAGTCGGAATCCACTCAACGGTAATCGGTTGGGTTTTTGTCATCTTCCTATATGTATATATAATATAAACATAAATATTATACCTTATATATACAGTACATAATTTTATGTTTTTATACTTGTATCAATCTCCTATACATATTTTAATACTTTCACCATATCAACTATACATATTATTTTGTGTTTTTAAAGTTAACATAAATGGTATCTAATTTGCTTTTGGCATCTCGCATATTTTCAAAGTTTATCCAAATTAATTTATGTAGATCTATTCGGTCATTTTACAACCCTTAGGCATTTCCCTGTGTGAATATACACAACTTACTTATGATGGACATCCTGCGTCCACGTCCCTGTGCACACATAGAGGAGTCTGAGTTGGCTCACAGCCCTGGTTGCACAGTGGGAACACCTGAGAGACTTAAAAATGACCGCTGCCTGGTCTCACCTGCAGAGATTTTGATCTAATTAGTCTAGAGTGCAGCCAGAACATCAGTCTTCAAAAGCTCCCCAGGTAATTCTAATGTGCAGCCAATGTTCAAATCAATTGCCCCAGGGCTTTGCTACTCTTTGGAGGTCCTGGCACCCAGCAGCATCAGCATCACCTGGGAGCTAGTTAGAAATGCAGAGTTCCCAGGCCCCACCCAGACCGGCTGAATCACAGCCTGCATTTTCACAAGATCTTCCGGTGATTCATGGACACGTAAAATGTGGCGCGAGAAGGGCTGGACTAGGGCGTGTACCTAGATGTGGAATTGCTGTATCATAGGGCATGCACGTCTTTAACTTTACCGGTTAGTATTGGATTTCAACCAATTTATAACATTCATACTCTTGATCAGCGATCAGCACATAGCATCTGGAAATAAAGGAGAACTCTGATTGTGCTACAAAGAACAGATACGGAAACTCAACTCTAGTGTTGATAGGAAGGTGTGCATACCCCTTTGTAATCCAAACACATGGAAGCATTATGTTAGTTTGTGAAATGTTAATGTGTATACAGAAGGTTCACTTTGTCCAACCCACTGAAGTTAAAATGGCTCTTTGCCATTGGGTCACGATTTCGTTGTCAGGGATGATAAACTCAAAAATCTATCATTTTAATAAAATTAGATTTTTTCTTTTTTTTCATGGCATGGTATGATTCCTCATTATACCAAAACTGATGATATCAGGGCCTTAGGGCACCGTTACATTCAAGTCTTCTTCATCCTGGTTCTGTACAAAGGATAGTTCCAACAGGCTTCACAGATAGAAGACCCTGCCTTCCACACACCCCCACCCCAAGTCATTTCCTATAAATTCTGTCACTAGGCATTACCCAGGCCTTCCTCTTTGTTTGGTTTTGTTTTGCTTTTAGCAACACAGAAAGATGTTGTGTGTGTGTACGTGTGTGTGTGACTATTTCTAGGAATCAGTTCATTCTGGAAATGGATTTTCTTCTCAATGGTGGAACCAGGTCTTTTCAACACGATATATAAACATCTTGCCTGAAAGCCACTGTGTTCTGTAATACTGTATTTTCTTATAAGATGGCGAAATAACATCATTGGAAAACAGCCAAGAAAGAAATCCCATCTCTCCATTACCTACCGGTGCGCCCTGTGATTGGTTTCCCCAACAAGCCCACGGTTATCAAGGCTCCATCAACTTTCCTTTAAAGGAATCATGTGCAAGACCCCAGAGACCCATGGAATGGCCATTCTCATGTACAGCTGGTTTTGGTATAAATCTCTGCAACCTCTTCTGATGAATGATTTTGGAATACATTTCAAATGTCTTTAAAAATGTGCATAGTCCCTGACCTAGAATTTCCACTTCTAGAAATTTACCCTAAGGAAATGATACAGGATGTGCATAATGACTCGTTTTCAAGGATGTTCTTTGTAGTGTTGTTTATAATAGCAAAACACTGGAAACACCCTAGATGTCCGGCAGAAAGAGGACTAGTTGAGTTGTGGTACATTTAGGAATGATCCTGTGATATGGAAGAGCTAAAAACTACACTGCTGAAACATTTCTTGATAGAAAAAGATGTTCAAAGTAGATTAAATAAAAAGGATTCCAAGCAGT